AAAAACAAGCATAGAGATCATCATGAGAACGGACATGATAATCAACGAAAACTAAAAACGACAGGAAAGAAAGAGAAAAGAAGTACATGTATATGTATATGTATAGAAATGGAAGAGAACAACTATGTAGAAGGTAGCGTCATGAAGTAATATCCAATGACGCTAACAAGAACTGAAGAAGAAGAGAACGAACGAACGATAGAAAACGCGACTGTATAGATATGTGTGTGATGGGAGATAATCCTTCACATATATATCAGTAAGGAAAAAGCCCGGAGAATATCCCATGATTCAATATGGATATTTCCAGTTGTCTTTTGGGTATAATCCACTTATACCTACAGGGACAATGCGAGATAGGTATAAAAGGCGAAGAGTATCACCATTTCTCATATACAACACAAATCGGTAGGTAGCAAAGACACTTGCTGAACAATGGTACACACTTTTTTTCTTCATTCAATGTTGTTAGATTTACCAATATCTAACAATGTCAACCAAACCAGCAACAACAACAACAACAACAACAACAACAAAAGTTACAAAAAATAAACGAAAAAGTACAACACTACGACGTATCCTTGTAAATATAAAAATAATGATTTGTTAATCGTGAAATTTGAAATTTTTCTCATTAGAATGCCAAATTTCCAAAGGAAATAACATCATTAGCATATGACTCGAACGAATTGTTTGCTATGCTGCTCGAGAAATATGGTAGTTACAGTAGCCGAAATGAAGAAAATGACAACAAAGAAAGACAAATAGATGGTAAACTAGATAATTGATGGTTTGTTAGAACTGATGAATTTACTGTGTTTGGGAATATTTCAGATGAACAACACCGTTCAACAACCAATTCACTAGGATCCATTCGTTGTGACAACAGCATGTGTATCGCTCGACCATCATCTCCATTACTTCTGGAAATTGACGAGGACACTGATATTACTTATATTGTTATCGATTAGAAGTGAATCAATTTTGGATGTTTAGAAGTGTCGTTTTTCTTTGTGTTTCCTTGCTCTTCAATGTTTATCTATCCATGCATTCGAATAAAATTCATGTTAACATACAC